AGCCTGTATGGAGGGGAGAGCCACCACAGCTGAGGTCGTGGCCAGGGGACGGATGGGGACGTGGGGATGCTGCGGGGGGGTGGCTGGGCCGGGGGGAGCGGCGAACATCCCTCCCTGGGACATGTTATCCCTGTTTGGCTTTAGAAGAGCCGGTGTGATCTGCTTTGTCACATCCGACGTCTGAGCAGAGCAGGGATGTCACTGGAGCTGTCACACACCCCCCTCCCCCCAGCTGGCACATGGCCCAAGAGGTTTAGAGGGATGGAGAGGGGCTCGCAGAGAGCAAAAGCACACCAGTGCCGAGGAGTCGGGATGGGGAGCCCCCCCCCCTCCCAATTTCCATCCTTTATACCAGGTCCAGGGGAAACATTAGCGACCTTGAAGTCTTGCAACGGTCTTAAACTGATGCGCGAAATCTCTCCAGCTTTCCTTTAGGTACCCGCTTCTGGTTTTGCATTTCAAAAGCTGCAGCCCCGATTTGAGGGGAAAAAAAGGTGGATTTGCTCTAAAAAATGAAGGAATCTGGGCCTCCAAATCCGCCTTTGGCATTTTTTTTTTTGGCTTCCAGGTTTTGCCGAAGCCTTCGGCATCCAAAGGGGTCGGTGCGACACCTGGTCCTGGAGACAAACACCCCGTGTCCTCCCCATCGGCTCTTCCTCCCGCAGACATGCATTTGCACCACCAGCCCTCGAGCATCCCCGGCACGACGGTGGGGGTTTTTTTCCCCAAGCCTGGCAGCAAAAAACCAGCACCTTGACTCCCTGTTTTTAATCCAGGTCAGAAATGCTCCGTTTCAAGCCTTTTCCCAGTGCCGCCCCCAGTGTCGCCCCGGAGCCGGGCCCCTCGCTGTCACCCAGCATCGCTGTCGCGGGCGAGGGACGCTCGTACGAAACAACCGTCAGAGAGGAAGCGGTGGTGGTCAAAATGCTCTGAATTCAACCTGAACCGTAGCAGGAGAAAAGCCTTTCACCCGAAGTACCTTGCATTATGGGATTTGTTTGTTTGTTTGTTTTTAGGACCCGAGGGACACGGCATCACCCGGGGGATCGGCATACGTTCCCACGATGTGCAGAGCCTTGGGAGGGTTCGGTGCCTCCCACCCAGGGAGCATCCTTCAGGTCCCCGCCAGGACACCCCGGCCCCGGACAAAGCTGGGACAGGGAAGAGCCCGGCAGAGGGGACCATGGGGGGGAAGATGATGCTGATGATGCTGATGCATCGTCTTCCTCCGCATGTGCCCTTACCCCCAGGGCTGGGACCCCGAGGGGAGCCTTAACCCCTTGTTTTTCACAAACAGGGCCACCGAGGGACGGGATGTCCCCATCCCACATCCCAGGTCGGGGACAGCCGGGCTCAGCCAGCACTGGCACGGGGAAGCGTGGGATGGGACAACTCCTCTCCACTCCCTCCATTGCTCCACATGTCAACAGCTGGTTACTTATTTATTTTTATGAGCTTTTTACAGCCTGGCCCCATTGTAAAAGCATGATTAATAGATGTAGCTTTGTTCTTTAATAACTCCTCCTGAAGGATGCCAGGAAGAGGACGAGGCAAAAATTCAGAGCAGCCGGAGCTGCATGCGGAGATGCTTTTCGGCTGATCCAGATTTGGGGGCACCCGCATCGCCTGCAGCCCCGGAACGAGCTGCAGAGAGCAGCCGGAGGGGAAACTGAGGCACGGCGTGGGGACGCAAAGCTGGGGCTCCTGCACAGCTCAGGGCAAAGCCGCTCACCTTGGGGCCAGGGATTTAAAGCCAGTTGCCGCAGCCAGGGCCGTACGGACAAGGGTAATAGCTTCTTCCCTCACGTTTCTATTAAGAATGAATTTACAGCCGTGCAAGCTTTATTGCATGCTCTGCGATAAATCCGAGCGATGGCGGCGGTAAGCGCTGTATTAACCTTTCAGGCCCACAGATGGAAAACCTCCATAAAACAGGGGTAAACAGAGACAGGGGCAATTTCTCCGCTCCCGCGTGCTCGGGGTAAGGGGTAATAAAAGCCACCACTGATATAGGGAGAACCACGGGCAATGTCCTTGCTGCTCCTCTGCACGTCCAGAAGGGTTTTGCTGTTATTATTTAGCAGGAAAGCCTGCTGGTTTGGGGTTTTTTAGGGTAAAATTCAAGAGGATGGGAGCGATTATTAACACAAATATGGAGAAACCATTCAGACTAGTAAAAATGGCTTTGTTGCACCAGTAACAAAGTTATTAATGATGTTATTAATTGCACCACCAACCTAGTTATTAATAATGAATTAACGGACTTTGCTCTTGCAGGGACACGATCCAGCTCACCGGAGTTATCGCCGCAGGGAGCGTGATGGGGGATGGAACAGGAGCTGGACTGGGAAAACACCTTGTCTTTCTCTTGACACTATATATTAACAAATTAACGAGCCTTTCCCCCACAGGATCCCAGCAATGTCCCTGTCCTCCATCTCCAGCCCCTCCCCGGACCCCAAAACCTGTTCGGGAACACCCGAAACAGCAACCAGAGAGTTGCCGGAGACGGCAAAGGAAGGGGTGAAGGGCTTGCGTTTCCTCCGAGATGCAATAAAGAAACCATCAGCAAATAAAACGAGGACACGGACTGGCCAGTGATCCAGAATGGCAGGTACCTCTGCCATGCACCCTGCTGATTTTTGGCCGGGAAGGATGCTCGGTGGCTGCTCTGGCCAGAGCCAGGGTTTGATGGGGTTTAAAGCAGAATTTCAGCTTCGCGTTCGAATCCTCCGGCTCTGACCCTCCCCACGGCTCCTGTTTGAGTTGACCTGAATTACGAGAGGCTCTGCTGGGGTTTGGGTTTTGAAGAAACTCCTCTGAGCTCACCCAATCCCTCCGGCTCGTGAAATCCAGCTGGAAAGTTTCCCCCCAAAAGAAGCCATCTCGCTACGTCTCGCTTCGGCGAGGGCTGAAAATAGCCCCCAGCTGCCTGGAGACTTCACTTCAGAGCTCGCTGACATGAAAGGCAGCCATCAAAGTGGATAATGGGATGTTTTCCAGCCTAAGGAAGAGCTCCAGCTCGGGGTCGGGCTTTGGGAAGGCCGGTTCTGCAGGGGACTGGAGCCCAGACTGCACCTGTGCGTCGCTGCACTCATCCTGACCACCCCTGGGAAGCCAAAACCCAAGCTGTCCCCATACGTAGACGCAGCTTTTTTGCTCAAATCTATTACGACCCGCTCTCAGGGGACTGCAGCAGCCTCTCCCCCCACAGCCACGGGCTTTATTTCACATAGCCCTGGCTCAGACCAGGCTACAACCAGCCCCCCATCAGCTGATAAAAGCATCCCTGGATTTTTAGCTGCCCCCCCCTGCATTGCTCGGGGCTGGTTGCTCACTGCGGCTGGAAGACAAATGCTTTGTTTTTGAAGAGAGAGGCTATCCTTCTGCATCTGCTAATGTGTGGCATCTTGTCTTATTTGCTCCTCGCTGTTCCACAGCTGAATTACTGCAAGTGACGTACTGGCGCTTTGTACGATGATGCTTCTTTATAGCCGCAAAAGGAGCGCTCCTTCAGCCTCGCCTTCCAGCTTTCAGGAGTTAAATCCATCTGCGAGGGGGCCACCAAGGCTCTTCCCTCCTTCCTCATCCTCACCCCTCCAGCCAGGGTGCTCTGCTCCATGGGGAGAGAAGAAGCATCCCCCCAGAAGCTGCGGTCCCCGTCGGCTGGTGCAGCTCGGCTGCGCCTTCCCAGCTTGATTTTGCTCCGCAGTGCAGCGAGCCGGGGGTCGCATCCTCCCCAGCTCTGCTTATCTCCTGCCTCAGAGCCAGATAACTCACTGGTGGTGGTTATCTCCTCGCAAGAAAAGGCTGCACGGGGAGGAGGCGAGGAGCGTGCGAGCCCTGCACCGAGCAGAGTGTACCCACGCTGCTCACAGCACCTCAAAACTGCGTCCATCTCCAGCACAAACCCAGCCCTCTCTCCCCGGGGCGTTATGGCAGCATCCTGCAGCATCCTGCGTCCCTTCGCCTCGCGCCCCCAGCCCAGGGCATCCCCGTTGGAGGAGAAAGGCGGGTTCAGGGGCATCCCCAAGCCATGGATCAGGGCACTCGGTGACTCAGCGCCGGGTTATGGATTCACCCCTATGCAATTTGGCACTAAAACCCCAACCAGAGCACCTCCCCTGCTCACGTTCCTCTCTGGGCTCTGCCAGCCGAGCCCTCCTGGCAGCCACAGGATGGAGATGTATAAGCCGAGCCCAGCGAGACATGGGCCTGAAACGGGTGCTCATGGCCATGGCATGCTAATTAATCCTCGTTTGCGCCTGGCGCTTGCCAGTCTGTAATTTCACAGCTTGCTGCAGGCCTCCGTACCACAGGATGGCTGCCAGTTGCTCGGCGGCCGGGGCAG